TGTTGCGCGCGGTGGCGCAGCCTCCGGGAAGCCGCGCTTGGGCCGGGCGGCTCCTAGCCGAGGTTGCGCAACGGCTCTTCCCGGCAACCGAAGTTTTGTTTAGTCCCACGGGGTGCCTCTTCCCTACCGCAGTCCTGGGCCGTCACTACGGAGATCTCTTGTCTTTCATTAAAGGGAACAAACACAAACACACGCACGCACGCAACTTGAGCGCCCCAGCCGATGGCTGCGTCCCTGGCTTTGTGGCCCAGTCACCAGCGTCGCCGAGCGGCGGGTTTGGAGGGTGTCAACTCTGGGGACGTGAGTGCGTGTGATTGTTGGGGAGGGGAAATGTGATCCACGGCTCGGCGTCCCCTGCCGCGGCCGGAGGAAGGCGTGGCGGCCGCGCGGCGGGGCTGTTGCCGGCTTCTCTCGTTACGGTGGCGGCCGCCCGCTTCCCTTCGCCACGCTGGGAGAACTCACGGAAGGACTTGGGATGAGAATGCCTGTTTTGCTGTCGGGAGGGTGAAGGCTGTTTTAAAATGGTATGTGGCTCTCAGCGAAGCCTATTCTTTTCCAGTCTGATTTCTGCTTGAGGAATCGCGCTAAAGGGTGTGTGTGTAAATTACCTTGGACCTGTTACAAAGTGGTCATAACATGTTCAGTCCTTGAACCGTGTTTTCACAACCTCTTGCTACCCTGATAGAATTTATTTTTCCACTTGTCATATTTTGTTGCTTCTAATTATAAAGAGCTTCTATTAGCAACAGTGAAGCTTTTCAGATTATCGTCGTTTACAGGACAATCTCATGGTTAATTCTGTTGTCAACTTTGATGTTTCTCTGGTAACATTGCCGGAAAAGTAAGCTGGTAAACCAGTATGCGCTTGTGCTTATGTGTACCTTCTGGTTAGTAGTTTGGAGATAGGCTAAATTTTTTTTTTTTTAATTTTTAGATACTTTCTTGTTATCTGTGGCTTTCGAAGTGGAAGTACTGTCCTTATATTTAACCAATTTAGATTATTTCGAAGTTGTAATTGCTGGGCGCTTTAAAATTTTAAGGGGCTCCCTTTTTGATCAAATTTTTGATGAAAACTTTTGTGTGGTATCGGTAGGTTTTGTTTGTTCCCAGCTAAAACATTTTCATCCTGCATTCTCGTTTAATTTTTTCAGAAGCTAGGCAAGCCTCACCATATGTTTGATAAGTCTAGATTCTGCTTATGTTTGCAAGTGCAGTGCTAATTTTATACAATGAGCCATGATAAGGTTTTGATAAGTCATGATTAAACTTAGTATTTAAGTAAACAAAATGTGATTGGCCTTTTTAGAAAAATAATTTTTATAGTTTTATGTGTAATCTTATGCCTTCATGCCACTTAACAGTAATTGAAATGTAACCAACCAAATAAAGTTATTTACTTTTAAATAAACAAGGTATTTCTTGGTATATTTATGGATTCATAAAGTGGAGGGAACTCTTATTTATGAAATATAATGCTTAACCTGAGGTTTTTTTTTTAGTTTTTGAAATTTGTTTTTAATTTGTGTTAAGGTAGAGGTGTGTTGAAATATTTGAGATTTTGGATTTTTTTTTTTTTTGTCACTATGGGAAAATTGAATAACAATTTGTTCCTTAATCTTTTTTTACTACTCTAAGGAAAATATTTTCTAAAAAAAATTCTTAGATTAAACTGTTTTAAAAAGGTAAGACGAGCTTGAAATCTAGAACAGAACCAGCCATTAAATGTTTCAAATTTATATTTGGAGATTGCTGACTACAGTAGCTAAACATACATATTAGGCAAGCAGATCATAACATGGTGAGCCAGTCTTAGTTTATTGTCATAATACCTTTTCCATTGAACTAGTCATTATCTTGCTTGTAAACTAGTCATTGGCTTCTGGGCATGTAGTTTTAGAGTCACATAAAAGTGGATGGTTTTTATGAGATAATTCTTCTTGTAAACATGCTTGAAAAGAAGCTTCAGATCAAACTATTTTAATTTTTTGGATGCCCTGTCATGGGATACCATAAAATAAGGTGCAAATTACAGAGGTAGCTAGTATGGTAGGGCACATAAGTGTTTAATGCAAGGTATTGAAAGCCTTTTTTTCCCTCTTGCAACTTAAAATAGCAACAGCTGTCAAATCAACAACTGTCAAGGATTTTTTTTGTCGAGGTTTTGTTTTCAATATTTGATACATGAGCAATGAAGGCTTCTGTATATGGAAGGGAATAAAGGGGAAACAAATTTCAGAATGCTGAAATACTGTTTCCCAAACCTGTTTCATATTCATGTTTGTTTGCACGTCATTTTCTGTTTGAATGTTAGAATGATTTATTCTGGTAACTTTTGAAGTTAACTTTATTTTGTTAGGTAAGAAGAGTTAACTTAATAATGCTGTTCCCATTGCAGCAGTTCATCAAGGGTAATGATATGGTAGGTTAGAATTGCATTATTGGTGGTTAATTCAAAGGCATGAGAAATGTAGTTTCCATTGCAACTTAACATTTGAGTTTGGAGATGCAAGGATGTCATAGCAATATTTAGATTTAAGAGTGTTCTAAGGAACTTTGAAATTCTCTATATTTAAAATAATCCCGCTAGAGTTATTCTTAACTATTAGAGGACACAATAACTTGCTATGTGATTATATTGTTGCCGCCAAAAGAAATGTTCATGTAAGATTTCTGGGTTTGCAGCTGTTGTAGTTTTCTTAGTGTCTGAAGTTGAGACTTTGGCGTGGTATGTTTAAATTCAGTGTGGAAGTTATTTCTAGACAAGCTACTAGAACTTTGTTAAAATGGAGGAATCCATCATTGTGTTTTCTTGCTTTTTTAAAGTTGTCTCTTTTGCCCCACACAACTTGTTGAAAGCTTTGTCATAGGTAACCCTTTCTACATGATATAAATAAGTCTAAAGAAATTATTTTAAATGTCCTTACTTGTTCTGGATCCAGGTGCTTAAAAAGTATATTCTGTTTAGTACCGTTAAGCGCTTAACATAAGTTTAATAGGGGTACGTATGTGGAGTAGAAGATTTGAATCAATAATTTTTAGGATATCCAGAGCACTTATATGTGCCTGACTTAAGAAAATATGGGTCACTTCTCTTGGTTGGCTTGGTGGCATTAAGAGTGATTTGGGGGGAAATACCTTAATATTAGTGTGCAGCTTCTGTAGTTTTGTCATAGCTGTTGTTTTGGACCTCATCTTAGTCACTGTTAGGACCAAGCTAGAGTAGATATGGAGGATGTATGTTATACATTTTACCTAAACGTTTGTCACATTAGACCTTGACCTATTTAGCAGTTCAGCCTATTCTCCTCAGTTGATACTTGGGCCATATGTCACTACACAAAGTCAACATACTGCCTTGATTCAGAGGCACACCACTGTTATGCTAGGGACCTAGAGCCTCTTGTGTGGAAATTAAAAGAATTGGATGAATATTGAAAATACTGTATTTTTAATTTCTAGGGTGGCGTTTGTAGTTTGAGACAGTTAAGTCATTAAAACTGATTTAATTTTTCTTTTATATTTAGTAGTTAATGTGAAATCAGTACTTTAGAAAGCTGTCTTTTTCCAACAGAAAGGCTTTGAAATGAAACAAACCAAGGACAATATTTTTTTTCCCTTAAATGTATTTTGGTACTTTGACTCAAACAACGTCTCTAATATTTTTAAAAGTGAGAATTTTTTCTTCCTTTGATAGTGGGTCAAGTAAGGTAGAGGAAGCTGGGTCATAATGGGGGTGGGGAGAGATCGGTTTAATTAAACTTGGGAGGCTTAGAAATCTGTTTTGACTTAAATGTTGCAGGTTATTAGAGACCAGAACCAAAGTTCACTTAGTTATAAAGTCAATTAAATATTGTGCTAGCTTGGGGAACAGATTAAGAACATGCTGTGATGCCTGCTAAATGATCAGGTTTTTTTTTTCTTATTTTTTTTCTTTTAATTTAATCTTTTTTTTTTAATGATCAGTCTCGTGAAATATCTATTTATCGTCATTGACCAGTTTTTAAAAGTCCTCTCCTCCCTTGTTTCCCTTCCTCTTTGTGTTTTTTTTTCAATCTAAAAGACTTTTTTTCTTGATGTAGAATTTACGGAAGATAAACTTTCTATCCAATTAAAATAAATCTTATGTTATAGGCCTAACTTGAAATCAGAAGTGTGAAAAGCATAGCACATATTATTGCCATTAAAATGAGTCTGGTTTATAGGAATAATTTTTTTGTTTGTTTTTGGAGATCCTTAGTAAAACTAAGGTGAACATAATAAGTCAATCTAGGTTTTTAAAATTGAATTAAATTGAATTAAAACCTGGACTTTTCAGATATTGATCACATAGTCCATTTTTACCTTCTGATATAAACATCTCCTTTTAAAGAGTAGATTTACTTATACACTTACAGTTGCATTTTCTGTGCTGCTTTGTCATTTTTTTAAACAAAAATATTACACCTAAGAGAAGTGGAGACTTAGAGAAGAATAATAAAGGGAAATGTAGTACTTCACTCCTTTGAGCTGTACTTTTTTCTTTAGGTAAGGATCTAAATTGTGGAAGACCCGATCCTTTAAGTCTTGGGTTACATTGAAAAAGAATTGACAGAGTGGTCAGATAAATTCTTTATTTTGCTTAATTGTTAATGCTGAAGCGCCTTTTCTAATTGGAAAAAAATTATTTAGATTTGATAGGTATTGAAATAATCAGACGAACAGAATATGAGTCACTCCCACCCTCTTTAAAATTTTGTAGCCATTTATTTTAAATTTTATTTGATTACCTATAGCTTACCAAGAAAATTGTCTTTAAGATTTGATAGAAAATATGAAACTTGGCTATATTTGACTAGCCAATTATTCCAGCTTAGAAGTTTTTAAGAAAGTATTGGATTTACTAAAAACCATTTATATTAAGTTCAAATTCTTCTTCTTCCCCTTACTTAGTTGCAGATTATTCATAAAGTACTTTACAGTTGTAAAAAAATAAAGTAGTAACAATTGCAGAAAATAATTGACTTAGAAAATGTTTCCTAACCTATAAAGCAGTTATTTAAAGGCTAAAAACTTCATTTGCATGTATTTTGACTGTGTTATCTGTTTAATAATACAAGAGTCCTGTGGGTTTGGTAAACTATACGACTTTAGATATAATGCTACAGTCTTAAATAGTTAATAAGTTAGATAAAGTGATAACGTATTGAAAATTGAACCTGACTTTCTAGAGATACATTTTGTAACATATAATTTAAACTAATACTTCCGAGGGGTTAAATATGTAATTTATTACAACTTCTATTGAGATCATGTAGGTAGGGTATGGTGACAAAGTCACAATGAAAATTACAGGTTATATGCTTATATAACCTATAGCTATGATGCTATGCTACTTTACATTCTCAAAACAAAAACATGATTTTGGGGAACTTATAATCGGTTTCAGTGGAGACAATACAAATATCTGTAGCATATTAGTTGTAGTTTTGTATTTTTTAGTCAGATAAGAATAGTATCGGCTTAAAAATAATAGATTTTTAATCTA